ATAGATGTCTAAGGGGTGCATTAGTGATATGTACAGGGGTTTAGAGAATCACATTTGGATAACGAGAGGTGGCGTGATTAAATATTTGGAATTCCTCTATCTATTAGAATCCTAATAACGCTTTTATCACCTCTACTAAATGGAGATTCATTATCTACCTAATTTCAGAGAGGTGAAATAGTGACAGAAGTGCATTCCATGGACTTACGATATCTAATGGTTTACCAGATAGACATGAGGAGTGACCGAGCTAGTGAGCATAGTTAGTAATGAGAGGAGATATGTATTCTCTAAATATGAGCTACACAAAATGGGATAGGATAATTGTGGTGAAATCTTTTCTTGGGATCATTTATGCATTGGTTGTATATGTTGGCCATTTACTTCATTAACTTGGTGGTGGTGATTTTGGTGGCGTTAGTATTAGTGGCGGTGCTGCTTGAGGCAGTCGTAAGATGATGGTCACAAATTATTTTATTGATTATGACCAATAAATTGATTAATGTGTGGTCAAAAAATAATATGTAAGTAATGAAATAGATAATTTGTGATAAATAAATAATGTGTGACCTAAAATTGTTAAGTTGTGACCAATAATTTGATAATTTAAGATCTAGAAATAATTTGTGATCAATTAGTTTGATATTTTATGACTATGAAATAAGTGTGTGACTTAGACAATTTGTGATTTGTGACTAAGGAATAATATGTGACTCATTAATTTGATAAATTTGTGATCAATAAACAAATTGTGACATATAAAATTTATTATTTGTGATTGTGACGTTTGTAATTGCGATTATAAATTATATAATATCGTGACCTTAATATATTTAATTAATAAAATATATTTTTAATTAATTATTTCATAAATAAAATTTTATTAATATTCGATTTTTGAAAAAATGAACATTTCTTCTTAGTTTTGAAATAAGTTACACTTAATATGTTATGTATGAATTTTTTCTTTATATTAAGTTTAGATTTAAAAAATCATTTTTATTTTATAGCTGTCAATGAGATTGCAGAATCACAAAGATTACGGAAACGGAAGATTACGGAAATCGCCTATAATATAATTACCTCATAATTGATTGTAAATTATTGTAATTAGCCTTGTTACCATATTTAGGACGTATACAATTATATAATGGAAGAGCCCCAAACGGACAGAGGCATTTTGTCAAAGTTTGGATGTTGTCAGAGTTTTGCTCTTAGAATCTTGGGTTCCACCCAAGTTTTAGGTCGAAGCTCTTTCCACAGCTGTATATCTGATTAATCGACTTCCTGCTCAGCTTTTGGATTTTGAATCACCTTATTTTCGTCTGTACGGTACACATCTTGACTATGACATGTTACATACTTTTGGTTGTGTTTGCTTTGTCCATCTACCCTCTCATGAACGTCATAAGTTTGGTGCTCAATCTGCACGGTGTGCTTTCCTTGGTTACAACATTACTCTGAAAGATTTCATTTGTTTTGATGGTGTTGCTAATCGTTTTCGTATCTCTAGCAACGTGATTTTTTTTGAGAATCAGTACTACTTCCAACAACATGTTGTTTCCTCTCATGTTTTGGCTCCCCTTATTAGCTTTGCGCATGATTCTGGTTATATGGATTGTTTTAAACTAGGTGTTGTATATCAGAGACGACGGCCCCTAGATCGACAGCCCCTTCTTGTTTCTGATCCCAGTTCCGGTCCCGGTTCCATCCAAGATTCTGCTATTCTTTGGCGATCCATTCGCATTACTCATCCTCCTGATCGGTATGTCTTCTCTGCAGATTTATCTCATTTCACCGTTCCTACTTCTTATTCTCAGGCAGCTTTCCAACCCTGTTAGGAGAAAGCCATGCAGGAGGAACTTCAAGCTCTTCAGGGGAATTTCACTTGAGATATTGTTTCTTGCCCTCTTGGTATCCGACGTACTGGGTGTAAATGGGTCTATTTTGTTAAGCCTCGATTTGATGGATCGCTAGAACGATATAAAGCTTGGTTGGTGGCTCTTGGGAAACGTCAAAAATATGGGGTGGATTATGAAGAGACATTTGCCCATGTTGCCAAAATGTCGATGGTTCGAACTATTCTGGCTATAACTGTCTCTAGAGGTTGGCCTTTGCGACAGATGGATGTCAAGAATGCTTTCTTACATGGTGACCTTAAGGAAGATATTTATATGACACCTCCGGTGGGTCTCTTTTCATTGCCTTCTTCTGGTGTGTGTAAATTAAAGTGTTCTCTTTATAAGTTGAGGCGGGCTCCTCATGTTTGGTTTGATAAATTTCGTTCTACTCTCTTGGGTTACTTATTTACCCAGAGTAAATATGATTTGTCTCTCTTCATCTCTGCTACCAAAGTGGGTACTGTGCTTCTTTTGGTCTATGTTGATAATATTGTTATTACTGGTACTGATTCAGGATTGATATCTCAACTTTAAATCCAGTTGAATGATTCTTACCATATGAAAGATTTAGGCTCCTTGCTGTATTTTTTAGGTCTTAAAGTGCTTTCCAGTCCAGCCGGAACTTATCTACATCAACACAAGTATTTGGGGGAGTTGATTACTTTAGCTGGACTTCGTGATGGTCGCTCGATTGATACTCCTTTAGAGGTGAATGTGAAGTACCGTAAGGAGTGAGGGGATCTCCTTCCTGAACCTTCTCTATATCGCCAGTTAGGGGGTAGTTTGAATTATTTCACTATTACTTGACTGGATATCTCTTTTGCTGTACAACAAGTCTGTCAGTTTATGCATGCTCCACGACATCTTCATCTGACTGCAGTTCATCGCATTGTACGATACTTGCTGTGTACACCCGATCGAGGTCTTTTCTTTCCTACAAATTCTTCTCTTGAGTTGATAGGATATAGTGATGCGGACGGGGTTGGATGCACGGATACTCGTCTCTCAATTACGGGTTTGTACATGTTTCTTGGAGGTGCACTAATTTCTTGACACAGCAAGAAACAGGACCGTGTCTCTAAATCTTCCACTGGATCTCAGTATTGTGCTATGTCTTCTGCTTGTTTTGAGATTGTTTGGCTACGAGGCCTTCTGTTGAAGCTTGGTATCCTCAGCTTAGACCTATTCTACTTTGTGCTGATAATACTAGTGTCATTCAAATTGTTGCTAATCCCATATTTCATGAACGCACTAAACATATTGAAGTGGATTGTCACTCCATCCGTGAGGCTTATGATGATCACATTATTTCTCTTTCACATATCACACTAATGTTCAGATCGCTGACGCATTTACTAAGGTAATGATGCGACCGCGTCATCAATTTCTTGTCGACAAATTGATGCTTATTGATCGCCTAGCATCAACGGATGTCAATGAGATTGCAGAATCACAAAGATTACAGAAACGAGAGATTACGGAAATTGCCTATACTATAATTACCTTATAATTGATTGTAAATTATTGTAATTAGCCTTGTTACCATATTTAGAATGTATATAATTATATAATGGAAGAGCCCCAAACGGGCAGAGGCATTCAGTCAAAATATTAACAATAGCATTACTAACAAGAGTGCTATATTTAAATGTTATAAAATGTTGTACAACATTTAGTCTGAAAAGTAAATTAATTACTTATTATGATTACTTTTGTCAAGTAAAATCAATTTCCAGCCAAAAAACAAAGTACGTGTCATATCTTAGTTATGCGCTACGTGTATTATATCTTTTCTTAATCAAAATGAGGTAGGTAGATGTAAATAAACCTCAAGAAATTCACTTCAAGTTTCTTGATTTGATGCTTTTCGGCCTAAAACAACTACAAACCGATGAGTTCGCTCCTTTAACATGTCTAAAAAATAACTGTATAAACTTTAAAGTTTCATCATTCTGATAAATTACCAACTTAGACCATAAGTCAAGGCAACTACCATTTTACTAATATTGTGCAATTCAAATTAGGAAAAATCCTAATATTATTGTTTAGAAGTATGGTTTCACAATATTATTTTTATGTTAGAGATGTCTAATGTGCTTTACACCTGAAAGAATGGTTTTAAAAAACGCTTTTCAAACTTCAAAAGAGTACATGAAAAACCCTCCCATTGAATCTCCAATGTTCAAGTCACTATTTTTACTAAAGAAAGCATATCAGTGAAAGAGGTTGTATTCATGATATAGTAGATGGAATTGGATTTCCATCCATTTAAGTATGTGTTAATTAATTTTCTTATTCAGATAAGCACTATCATGGTGGCTTTTATCCCAACAGATATTGTTCGGTGGACCAAACTTCGCAGCTAATTTCGCTGAAAAGTTTTCTCTGCTCAATAATTGTTAAAAGTCGGCAGCATATGCAAAATAACCCTCATGCTTTAATGACCATTCGGTGGACTTTCTAAAAGGTTATCTTGACTAATCACAGTTATAATTGCATACTTTTAAGTGAAAATCCGTAATAATAATAATTGAAAATCAGTAATGAGATGAAGATTAATAATAATAATAATAATAATAACTTTTCACCTGCAGTGTCTATTAATGATCAAAGTCACCCAATTTAATCAATTTTTTTTTTTTTTTTTTTTTTTAGAATATTAGGTTCCCTTATTCCGATCGCACCAATAATTCGAATCCATCAACATTTTCACGAGAACAATACTATTTATTATCATTGGTGTTAACACACCAATATGGGTGCTACTAACTTGACACTAAATAAGAAATACAATTAAATAAGTCACTTTTATCGCTGAACTCATCAGATCACATCATCTAAACTGATGGTGTAACACCAATGACACTAAATACTACTATTCTTTTCACAATGAATCGACTTGTACCATTTGGGACAAAATAAGGCGGTACACTTGGAAAGTGACAGTGCTACACAGTTTTCGAAAGCAACTTTCATTAAAAAAATAGTATTCATGGTGGCAAAACACATATTCGAGAAATGATAAAAGCAGGAAACTTCGAATGAAAATGTATTTACATAAAAAAGGATAAAACCAAGTCGAAAATACATTATTGTGCCTCATCTAACGCGTGGAGATCTCAAGTGTGATGGCAATGGAGACGCCGAAGGTGTCACATTACGAGGCGAATTTTGATGTTTCATCGGCGGCATAGATACATGATCAAAAGAAGTTCGATTCCCGCCTTTTATAGGCCTCGATGCACTTTTCAGAGATTGGAGCTCTTCAAGTGTGGATAACACCTCAGCCATGTTCGGCCTGAGTTTTGGTTCTCGATTAAGGCACTGCAATGCGATGGTAGCAGCAGTGTATGCGGCTTTCTGAGGGTACTGACCCTCGAGTTTTGTGTCCATTATTCGGAACAATTTTCTCTTGTCGCCCAGATAAGGTTTTGCCCAATCAACAAGGTTTTGTTCCACACCAACCTTTGCTTTATCAACAGCACGTCGTCCAGATAGCAGTTCCAGTAAAACCACCCCAAAGCTGTATACGTCACTTTTTGATGTCAATCGGCCTGTTCATTGTAATGAGGACCTTAGTATATGATATTAACAATGCTACTTAGTGAGTCAAAGACTGTTAGTCTCTCAACTTATAGCTAAGATTTATGTTATCATGGAACTTTATTTTTTTCCAAAGTAGTCGCTTGTTCTTTCTTATCATTTGAATTTGGCCATTCAATTAGAATCCATTAGTTTTTCAAATGGAAAGACTACAATTTGACATGGCATCTACATGGTCATCTACATGGAGGTCTTCAACGTTGACCATTCCATTTCATAAAACTAAAGCATGCTTAACTAACTCAAACAAAAAAACAAATAAATAAATAAACTTGAGTTACTACTTTGACGTATGTGAGATTTCATTATAAGTTGAGTGACTATTGGTTTTTACCCATGACTACACCAAAGAAAAGAGTTGTATTTCAAATATATGAACCTGTAGCAACATATTCTGGAGCAGCATAGCCTTGAGTACCCATAACTTGAGTAGATACATGAGTTTTATCACCAGTTGGGCCGGCTTTAGCCAATCCAAAATCGGACAACTTCGCATTAAATTCCTGCATTTGGAGCAGAATCACTCAGTTCATCTATGCAAATGAACACTTTCGGCAGAATCCTTACATGTTTGGAATGCAGTGTTAGACATGATTTTAACTTTATTTCTTAATAATCCATAACAAACATACTATTAAAGATCACAGTTCTGAACATACCCCATCAAGAAGAATGTTAGAGGCCTTGAAATCCCGATATATTATGTGATGTTTCGCATCATGCAAGACCGAAAGGCCTCTAGCAGCACCTACAGCCACCTTGATTCTTGTAGCCCAAGTGAGCGGCTGGGGACCTCCTGCGGAAAAGAAAATGCAATGCCAAAGGTCAAAACATGTTGTTAGATCTGCAGCCATAAAAGAGGATTGAGGATCAGAGCATCCAACTAATCACATACAATCACTTGATATTGAATCGATTATAAATGTCAATGGTAGACTATAGACAAGAACGAAACGTTATAGTGACCAAGTTCACGATTAGTATTGGTGATAAATGCATAAAAGCGTAAAATTAAACCCCACGACATGAAGAGCAAATCATGATAAACATGGAAAATTAATAATAACAACATAAGAAATGAACTAAATTGTACAACATCAGTCTATGTGGACCTATCAGTAGAGAATTAACCCTCTTAATAGTGCTTTACCAAACAGAGAACGCGAGGAAATTACGAAAAGGATTGAATTAAGTTACAAACTGAACAAAAGCAGGCAGAGCAATGTAGCTGATAACTGGAAGAAAAAATAAATGTAATGAGGTAATGAGGTTTTATATCGCTGATTATCAAATAAGTAATAAAGCTTGTTTGAGAAAATCATAAAAGTTTTTCATAGAAAGAAAGGGAAATACATACTTCTGAACAGATGGTTCTCAAGGCTTCCTCTTGGCATGAACTCGTACACCAAAAGCCGGTTGTCACCCTCGGAGCAATAACCGATAAGTTTAACCAGGTTTTCATGATGAAGTTGCCCCAAATAATTGACTTCTGTCTGCAAATCATAGGCTGGTTGTCAAAACAGGTCGTTACAAAATTATAAATTAATTAAACCATAAAAAATTGAAGAATAAACATACCAACCACTCCTTGTGGCCTTGGAAACCCTCAGGCTTCAACTTCTTCACAGCAATAACCAGTCCAGATCCCGGCTTTGCAGCAGTAAGAGTGTTCTCATCAATCCATCCTTTGAAAACATAACCAAATCCTCCTTCCCCAAGAAGACTGTCAGGTCGAAAGTTTCTGGTTGCGTTCCTTAACTCATTAAATGAGAAGGGCTTAACATTTGGGGATGAGAGAATTTCAGCTTCAGATCTTGGAGTAGGGAGGCTGTGAACACTGCTTTTGCTACTGTAAGAAGGAATGTTTATGGTGGACGGAGCTAACGAACTTCTGGGCAACTTTGAAGCTTCTGAAACTCACAGAAGAGATAATGAGGTTGTATTTTTACGAATTCCTCTTTAATGTGACATCTAAATGAAGTCCTCCATTGACTTGAAATATAACAAACAGAACTGAAATTTTGAAATTCCAATCATGAAAAATTGGGGAGACTTATTGTGGATTATTTTATTAGTAATGATTAACCTTGTAATTTTTATAATTTCAATAATAAAAAAATAAAAAAAAAAAGAAGAAGAATCGACTGAAAAATTAATTCTTCAATCCCTCTAAACAGATGGCATGGTAAGATGACTGGCAAGAAATTCTTCAACACAATAAAATCAGATAGTCCCAAAAAAGAAGAATTAAAGGGGACATATGAACCAAATACATAGAAAAAACGACAATTAAGAACAAAAACTAATGATTTTTACACCCAAAAATCCGTGCTAAAAATTCAGAACTTGATTCCACCAAAATTTGCCTTGCAAGGATTTCATCTTTGGGGGCATAGGCCAAACCCTTAATCAATCGAAGCCAATCAAGATTCAATCTTTATAAGAAAAAACAAATTTATGAGAAATAAAATTCACAATCTTTAACTCAAAACTGAACCAAAAAAAAAAACACACACACACACACATCAGTGAGCCAAGGAGATGAAAATACCAGATGAGGTGCTGAGGGTGGCATCAATTCTTGCTGAGAAACCCACGCAATTGCCCATGATGTTATTATGCTCTAACAGAGCAAGAAAAAAAAGGGAGAGGTTCTTAAAACACTCTTCAATAAAAATATCACAAACTTAAATTGTGAAATAGGCTCAAAAGTGAAAATTGAAATGAAGAGTTGAAGAGAGGGTTTCATTCAATGAAGCTGTTCCTTAAATATTTAAAGATAATATAAAAAATACAGAAAGAGAGTAAAGATAAGACGGCATTCACATGCAGAGGAAGGAGAGGAGAAAATAAATAGAAATGGGGAGCTACCTTCCTTTCCTTTTCCTACTTTGTTTTTACTTCATCCGTTAGCTGGTTTTTGTGGTGTCCCATCTTAATAAAATGACACTTGTCCGTTTAACCTCTTTTGAGTTTCCTGTTTCTTAAAACGCCCAAAATTTGTTTATTTCATTTTTTAAAAAAATAAGTTTAAAATTTATAACATATATAAACTCAAAACATATTTTCAATATTTTAGTATTACACGAGAAATACAAGTAATCAAAATTTTCTTCTCAATTCAAATTAAATACTTAAAATTTATATATTACTTTAAAATATATTAAAATAAAATTGTTCTATTTTACTGAATAATCAAATTCATAATTCATTGAATAAAATGTCATAAAACAATTTCTAAATATTCCAAATCTAATGTTTTCTACAAATTTTTTTTTTTTTTTTTTTTTTTGAGAAACTGCTTTTAATAATGTCAAATCAAATGTATTTTTTACTATTTTAAAGTAGAGCACCAAAATATAAAATTGAAAATGAATTCAAAGCTGAAACACAAGCCAAACGAAACCTTAGGGACTGTTCTTTTTGTTTTTCAGTTTTTAATTTTTAGTTTTGAATTTATTTTACATTTTGTGTTTTGAGTGTCCATTTTGAGATTACTGAAAAAGCGTTCTTTTTGTCATTTCGAAAAATTATTTTCAAAAATAAAAAAACGCGTTTACTTTCTAATTTTGAAAAACTAAAAAACTAATTATTCAATATTTTTTTTGTTTCTTTTACCTTATATAACAAAGTAAAAGTGGCTGTCATGGTAGTTAAGGCATTGAAATTCCATGCTAGTGACCCGAGTTCGAATCTCAGCCACCTACCAATTTTGTTTGAAAAATTTTGTACTGTGTATATAAAAAGAAAATTTCTTTGTGATGAATTGCGTGGTGAAATGGAATCAAACTCGCGACCTCCAGAAAATTTGAGACTCTCCAAACTAAATTATCCCGCTATTGGCAAAATTTGATTGTTTTCCGTGTTTTGAAGTTTTGGCTTGGTTTTAACTAAAAACAATTAAAAAGATTTTTTTGGCGTTTTCCATTTTCTTTGTAAATTTTAAACTCGTTTTTGGAAACTTATTTCTGAAAATATGTAAATAAATGTGTTTTCAGTGTTTTCAAAAATTGAAAACTGAAAATGGCCTGAAAAAAAAAAAAACATGCCCTTAATTTCTCCCATGAAATTTTGCGAGCAATATTTTTTTCGTGACACGACACTAAATGATAATACCGATAAAGTAAGTCTTATATCCATATAATTAATTGGTCTTATTATTTCATGAAATAAACTACTGCATAGATCGATGATCATCTTAGCAGAAATAAATAGTATTATATAATTTGTTCGGTATTGTGGTAGATTTTATTAATTTTTTGGGTAATTAGCACAAAACGTTCATACCAATTAAGTTTATTATGGTAAACATTCTTATCTTTTGTTTTTTGGCATTTTCGCCCTTATTTCCATCTTTTCTTCATGAGGAGCGTCCTCCCATCCATTATCCGTCAGTTACTCCATTAATTTAATACAAAAATACAGTTATCTTTTCAAACACCAAGGATTAAATAGTCCTAACTCATTTAACATCTTCATCTCCTTTTTTGCGTGAAGGTTCTATTGCGATTTTCTTCTTCAAAAATTCTCATTTTTTTCCATTTGTACAAGCTTTTCTCCCTTCTCCTCTCATATGCTCTCATATCATCTCTTGAGCGCACTGTGGAAGCACGCAGTGAGAGTTTTTTTAAGCAAGTGAAGTTAAGAAACATTACGTGTTGAGTATTTTTGTTTTCCATTTCGTATTTGGTGTTTTGCATGATTAAGAGTCTGTGTGGAGTTTTGATGTTATCTATTGTAGTTACACAGACTTTCGAGGAGCAACATGTTTCTTCCATTTTTTAGAAATCCTATCAACGATCGATGCAGTTGTGGTATAGTGTTCATTTCTTAAATTTCTATGTGAACTCATCTAATTTCACTGTGCATTCCCCCAATTTATGTTCATTTTTGTATGGTGCATTCAGTGTTTATCTGCCACTATGCATATTTCACTTTGGCGTAAATTCATTGTCCATTTCAGTGTTGATGTGAATTCCATCATTGTCCATGTTAATTCTCAATTTACTTTCCAATTCGAATTAAACCTAAAACTCCCCCAATTTATTGGTTGATTTTGATGTCAATTTTATACTATTGCATGCATGTGGTAATTCTCAATATTTCACTATCGAAGTACATTATGAAGGCAAATTTTATGATAAGCCAAAAAATGTGGTGTATGAAAGGGAATTCATTATTTTCGTTTACTTCTTTCATGATAAATGCTGCACCAGAGAAAATTTGAGTAAATTCTTACACGAAAATTTTGATGAAAGGGTATTGAAGTTTAATTATAAGAAGCAAAAACTAAGTTTAGAGAATGGCTTAACGAAATTGGAGAGTGAAGAGGATATTAAGGGAATGCTTAGGGACATGGATGAGCATCTGAATGTGAAGATGTGTATCGTAACCCGAATGCAATCATATGCATTGTCGTTACATCCTTGGTCTATACAAGTTGATAAAGACCAAACATTTGAAGATTATTATGTACCATTCGTTGCAGAAAACGAATGAGGGGAGCATGAAGGTAATTGGTCAGATCAATTATTGCAAGAGAATGCTAAAGAGTTATGGTCACAATTCTAGGAAACCTTACAATACTAGAATGAGAAAGATACAATTGTGGATAATTTGAGTGCGAAAAAGGATCAAGTTGTGGTTGATGATCAAAACGAAGAACAAAGGAGGGATGAGGAAGTCAAAAGTTTGGTAGAGTTCGATTATGAGATGGATCAGGAGCCTGTAGCTTATACTGAAGTTAGGAATGAAAGGTTTAATTTTGATTTTGGATTTGGTGTTTCAGATGAGCAGCAAGTTAAGGATTCAGATACCGACAATGGGGACTCCGATGATTTACGACGCATTCATAGTGAAAATGAGGGTAATACAACTTCAAGAAACAGGGCTTCCAATGATGCTTTCAATGTGGTGACAGATATAGAGGATCCAATATTTAGAAAAGGTAACTGGAACATATTCTTTATTTCAATTTAAACCTATTGTGTATTTTAGTTTAATGAGGTCTAATATGCATTGATTTTTTTTTTTATTGTGCAGACTTGGTATTTGAGTCAAAGGTCATACTAAAGGCTGCAATCATTGCAGATTCAGTTAAAAGTAATAAAGAGATTAAGTTCAGAAAGGATGACGCTCACAGATTGGGAGCCAAGTGTGAGAAAGATTTTCCATGGTTATTGTATGCTACCAAAGAGCATAGTAAGACAAGTTTTGTGATCCAAGCTTCTTTTGAAGAGCGTACTAGCCCTATGGTGTTTAAAAACTTCAAATGACCCCAACCTTTTTGGCAAACAAATATTTATCTTATTAGAAGACTGAACAAAATATATTGTTAGTACATTCATGGAGAGGGTTAAGCAGGATGGTTTATGTGACTTCTTACATTGGCAAGTATATAGAACAAAGGAAAATGGGCTATAATAAATTATAGGGAGTGTGGTGGAGCATTACAAAGTACTGTGGTAATATTGTAGGTTGAATATGTCAAATATTGGGACCACTGCTATGGTTGAGAGGTATGTTGGTGAATTCAAACGGCTTTATATTTGCCTTGGAGCATCAAGACATGGTTTCATTACAGGTTGTAGAATGGTGAATAGGGTAGATGTTGCTTTTTGAAGATAGAACATGGTGGGTAGTTGTTGACTACAGTTGGTGTTGATACTAATAATGGTATATATTCGATGGCATGTGCCATTGTTGAAGTTGAGAATGGGGATAATTGGAGATGATTTTGGAGTTGTTGAAGGATGATTTGTATACACCCGAAAGCCAGCATTGTGCATTCATTTTCGATAAGCTAAAGGAGTTGATTAATGTAATTGAGTCATTGTTTGAGAATTTGGAGCATATAATATGTGTCAGATATCTATATAACAATTTTAGTGTATGTCACAATGGTTTGTCTTTGAAGAATTGTTTGTGGGACGCAACCAAAGCCACTATTGGATCACAATGGCTTTAACCCATGCAACAAATGTTGGACTTGGACCTGACTGCTTATGAATAGCTTGAACCAAAACCAGCTGCTCATTGGCATAAATCACATTTCAGATAGTGGAATCGATATGACGTGCTTCTCAAAAATTTATGTGAATCGTTTAATAGCACAATTGTGAATGCAAGAGAGAAACCGATGTTGATCGTGCTAGAGGAGATAAGGGTATTTTTTATGAAGAGAACTGTAGCCCGTAGGGAGTCCTGTGATTGGTGGACAGCAATAGTAGGACCTAGAATTTAGAAGATTCTAGAAAAGAATAGTAAGCTTACAAAGATGGAATGAGATGACTACGCATGCAATGAAATGTTTCAAGTTCAACACAATGCAAGGACTGTATTACATGCTTTGGATTTTGGGGCAAGAACTTATACATGTCGTGGTTGACAATTATCAGGAATTAATTGCTTGTAGCCATGTGATTGTCTTAGTTGTATCTAGATGCCTTAATGTGATGGAGTTCGTAGATGACATCTACAAAAAGGATGCATATATCAGGACATACACACCATCAATTTCCCCCATCACAGGTCC